GTTTTCTATGCAATTTTTGCCTACAGTTTGTCCTCTGGTTCTTTCCCTTTGTTTGCTGCTGTAGACCAGCTTGTTCTTACCATTTTTATGTCACCCCAGCATGCTACTTTTGGAAAACATGAGAAAAACTGATCTGAAACAATCAATATAGCTTTTAATTTTTTTTTTTTCTTGTCTGCAAAATTACTTGGTTTGTGTTGTTTTTCCTTTCAGGCATTGGCATTTGTAAACTTGCTGTGAATGAAGTGTGACATAACCCATTTAATAATACAAGTATTTTGATATGAATATCAGTATCTTTTTGTGCCTAATTTTTGAGGCTGAAGAAAGCTACTTTGATTAGGCATGCTGATTAAAAATGATTTTATTTTAACAATGGAGACCATAATTTTCATTCTCTAGTTAACTGTTGTAATTAGTTGTGGAAAACTAAACTTTGCCTGCTGTATAGAACTGCTGCTTCTAAATTGAAAATTCCCGATGATGGAAGAGTTTTTCATGTTCTTCAGTAATCAGCTGAATTGGTTAATTTCATACTCATTCCTGTTTCAAACTAAGATACTCTAGGTATTGTATCTTGTAGCATTTTATTTTAATTTAATTAAGGATCCTATAGTATCAGCTCTAAATGTTGAAATAATGCACTTAAAAGTGATTAGATTAGTTCTGTGGGTATTTTTTTGGGATGTTTTTAATTTTTGGAAGTGGCAAACTACTGCTCAATAGAGAAAGGTCAGCAAATGCCTTTGTGTTTATCTTACCTTATAGATTTTACAATTGCATCAAACAAAAGGTATGTAGTCAAATTAATGTCTTTGAGGATGCCAACTGTAGCCTGTAAACTTTAAAAGATTATTAGACCAAGCTAGTGATGGTCTGTGCTATTACTGTCTGTAATCTTGCTTGTCAAAACCAAGAGCTTTATTGTAATAATAAATTACAACTCTGCAAGGGCACTACTCATATTTTCCAAGTGTCTTGCTGATGCTGTGCAGTGAAAATACATAAATGATGTCTGCCTTTTACAAATGTTACAGCCAAGTGTTTGAGGAGGGGAATGAAACAGTCTGAGAATGTATTCAAGTTTTAAATGGAAATTGTGTGGGTATGGGATTTATTTATTTATTTGTTTTGAGATTTGTCTTCAGAGGAATCCTCTCTTTCCATATGTTTGATATGCTGAAAAACAGCAGTAGCTGCATTTTATTAAAAAAAACCACCTCTACCGTGTCTTAACCATAAACACTTGCAAGTATCTGTAAAAGTTATGACACTTTTATTGTGGTGCTTTGGGGAATTTGTGAGTTTGGATTTTTTATTTAATGAGATTGTTCCACAGCCTTTGGAGCAAGCTATGTACTATATCACTGAGTACCTCTGAGATCAAGAGAGAGCAGATTGTTTCACTTCTGTCTGGTGCTAATATTCGAATGAGAACTCTTAAAAGAAAATTTGTTTAGAATTAATTCACCTGCAAGGATGTGTTTAATGGAAAGGATTTTTTTCAGGGAATGAACAAACATTTTGGATGTTGAATTTTAACACTTCTTAAAGCTGGTAGAGAGCACACAAATTAAAGTGAACAGTTGAAGAATACATTTGATTTGGAAGGCAAAATATCTGCTGTCCAAAACTAAAAGGTCCTTGTCTCCATACAGAGGGTCCTCAAGAGCTGTGTAAAAGATCTTCATTACATCATATCTGTATATATGTTAAGGTGGCTGAAGCAAAGAGCAGTAAGGCTAGAAGCCTTTCATAGTCTGTGTGAGAGCTGCTCAGTTAGTGCATGTCATGAAATATTCAGCTGCAAGGTCATAGCCCTGCCAGTCTTGACTTCAGGCGGGGTGGTACTCAGGCTAGGATTTAAAAGTAGGCATGTTGACATGGGATAGTGAGAATGGTGAGTGAAGTGGATTGAGGCCAATACTGCTTAGTGTCTTCATTCATAACTTGGACAGTAGGACATAACGTTCTCTCAACAATTCTGTGGGTGATGTAAAACTTGGATTTATAGTTGTTACACCTGTTAGTTCTGCAGCTATTTAGAGAGAGAAGAGGGTCAGTAGGAACCTTGGTTCAGCAAGGGCAAATGCAAATTCCTGCATCAGAGAGGAGTAACACCTTGCACCAGTACAGGCTGTGGGCTGAGCAGCTGAAATCGCTTTACAGGAAAAGCCTTGAGGGTCCTGGTGGAGGCTTAAATTGGACATGAAGCAGCAATGAGCATTGTGACTAAGAAGCCTAACAGCATCCTGGGCTGCATTAAGTAGGAAAAGACTCACAGGGAGGCCTGGATGGTGATCATCTCTACTCTCAGTGAGAGCAGTCTGAAGTGTTGTCCCCTGTGCTTGGCTCCCAAGTCAAAATTGACCTTGGCATCTTGCAGAGAGTCCAGTGGAGGACCACCAGGCTGGTCAGGAGCTGGAGCATTTGGTGTGTGAGGAGAGGCTGAGAGAGCTGGGAGTGTTTAATCTGGGGAAGAGAAGGTTTAGGGTAGATCTTACCAGTGCATGTAAATACCTAATGGGAGGAAGCCAGGCCCAGTGAAAGGACAGGAGGCAATGGGCAAGAACTGAAATACAAGAAATCCCATTTAAAGGTTTTTAGTGTAAGACTGATAGAACAGAGGAAGTTTCCATCCTTAGAGATGTTCAAGACTCAGCTTGACATGGCCCTGAGCAAGCTGATCTGATTAGGCCTTCTTAGAACAGTTACACTAGTACTAGTTGTACTAGTTTGTATCTAGAGGTTGCTTCAAAAATTTTTCTTATAATTCTAAATTCACTAGGGTTATGATTTACATTTTTATTTCTAAGTGTAAACTAGGAACCTCAAAGTGTGTTTTGAGTTCATGTCAATTGTTTATTTATTTTAACAGTTAGACATCTGCTTTGAAAATATTTTAAAGAGAGTCCTCATAACATCCTACTCTCTGTATTTCGCTCCTTAACTGTGCTGCAATTGTCTTACCTGACTCCAGTATTAAATTGTCTTTGGGCACAAATTCTGTAAAGAATTTTCTTGAAGGACAAGTGGCTTAACATGATGATATTAACCTTCCAGATTTGGAGACTTGTATGTGGAAGAACAATATGTCTTGATTTGAAAGACACATTCTGCAGCAGTCTGCTCATTTACAACTTCCGAATATTTGAAAGAAGATATGGCAGCAGAAAATTTTCAGTAAGTTCCAGTTTTGAGTTTTTTTTAATAGAAACTTTTATATACAGTTCAGTCTTGTACTCTTGGATGAATACTGTTTTATTTCTAGCATGTTGTATAGAAATATAGGTTAAAGGGTTTTAAAGATAATTTAGTTTTAATAAATTTAAATTTATATTGATAATACCTTGCAGTCAGTGGATTATTCTAATTTCTATTTGCAGTTGTATCAGTTGTAAGATATCAAACCCATCAAATTTAATTTTGGAAACAATCAAACTCTTGATTCTTCAGTATCTAGACAAGTAGGCCTGGAATTATGTTGTGTTAAAGATTGAATTTGTCTTAATTGACCTAGTATAGAGGTTTTCTTATTTTTTCTTATATTTAAAGGTATATTAAAACCTTTTTTTGAAACTGCTGAATTGATTCAAATTAAGCTTTTTCTTTCCAGTCTTTTTTACTGGGCGCTTGGATGCTATCAGCTTTGTTTGATCTTCTCCTTGTAGAAATCACTCAGTACATATTTGGCATCACCATCAACAGCTTGCCTTCTGGTTTGTAAGTAGCTTCTAAGGAATTGGTTTAGATATAGTATCAAGAGATAGGTTTTTTAAAATAAAATCTTCAGAAAACATTCTTCATGTAACATTTCAAATTAATCCTCTTTTGAACTGAAGTATAAAGGTTCTTGGCACAACTACTGTAATTTCAAACATTTATTTCTTAGCTATGATTTTTGTTTAATTTATAATTTATCCATCAGATTATTAGTTTCCAATCTGTTATCCTCATGTCTTCTGTTAACATGATTGCAGCATGGCTTGCAGTACACGAATTATTGCTATATTTGTTTAGTCTAAATTGTTTGGATCCATTCAATTTGTAAAAAGTGGATTCAGGTTGTGCTGATTTCTGTCTTAAATCAGAAAGGCAACAGAACTATAAGTCATGTGCTTTATGTTCACTTTTAAATGCACATGCATTTCGCATTGGTGCTTTGTATGTTTTTCAAAAATTGAGTGCCAGAGCTTGTTACTCCATTCCGTGCTTGCAGCTGAAATTCTCACAGCTTTAAGGTGTTCAGTGGTTCTGTTTTGCATAGCCTATGTTTGAGAATTCTGCACTTAATAAAAGATGTGCATATTACCATAGAACCACAGAGCTTGCAACCATTTATGGTTAAGCTTCTGGCAGGTGGGATCACACAGACTTGAGTTTCCATGTGTTTCACACTCTGAGGTAATAAGAAAAGCTCTTGGAGTAAGATTCTTAATATTAAACACCATATTAGACCTTTTTTTTATTTCTGCTTTTCCACAGCATCTGTTGAAAGTATCTAAAGACTGATTTATAAGGGACAAAAAGCACGTGTTTGATATTATAAAAATACATTTTTTGTAGTGTGTGAGTGTTCAAAAGAACTTGAAAGCTTGAGTAGCTACTGCAGTTACTCATATTTGTTACCTAGAGTTTGTTGCCAGGACATAGGCTGCTAATGTGTCTGGAGAAATTAATATTTTCCTATATGTAAAAGGATACTTTGTGCAAAAGTAAGGTGTCATAAATGAGCACATCATATCCACAGGTAGGTAATGAGCATTTGACTCTTTGATGGTACTTTGATGGCTGCAGAATGTAGTCAGTTACAAAGAAATCTGCATCAAATAAGTTTTTAATTAAGTAAAATACAAATTTTACCTACATATGCCTTCTCATTAAGTCATAATGAATTTGATATTGAGAGAATGAAATTAATTTTAGAAATGTGGGATGTACAGTAATTTCAGGAGCATTTGATTATGCAAATATAAAAAATTAATATATGCAATGCATCATAATTCTTCAGTGTTGTTTATTAATATTATATTAATAGTCAGTTTCACATATGACAATATTCACAATTGTTTGAGGTGATAAAAGCATTGGAAATTTTAACACTGATGCTATGTTTTAGTTCATTTCAGGTGAAACAACAAAAGATGTTGAGCAAATAAAAAGAGGTGCAATTATTATTCTGCTTTTGTCATATTTACAATGCATCAAATATATCTGTCACCTTTGCTTATATAGCATCCTGCTGTGTAGCCAAGTGCTAGAATTTAGAAAAGAATCCCTTGTTTACATTGTGAAAGTCCCTTGATATTTTTTCTCTTTTTATATCATTTCACTGTTCATGTTATTGAGTGATCTTACACTTCCAGTTCGAAAACTTTTTCTGCGCACGCTTCGAAGGTAATTGCGATAAAGGATTACACTGATGACTCTTGCCTGGAATTGTTTGGAAACAATGTAGTACAGTATAACATCCAAGCATGTACTGAGGTTCATGAGAAAGGTGGTAAAGGCTGCCCAGGGATTGTAACTTGTATTTTCATCTTGCAACATCAGGAAGGCAAAGCAAATGTGGAAGGGTACAAAGCAGATGAGTACCTGAGCAATCAGAGTAACTATAATTCTTATGGATCTCTCCTTGGCCTTAGGCTTCAGTTTGGAAGTCTTGCCGTGAATAAAATTATAAATAATGACTAGGTAACACCCCATCATGATAAACAAGGGGATCAAAAAGAAAAAAATCAAGCGACAAAAATTCAGTGTATTTACTTCCTTTAAATGGATGATATCGAGCATTTTCATGCAGGTGGTGAAATTTGAGGCTTGATCTGGATCAGACCGTAAAAACACCAATGGGGATGTTGTTGAGAGGGTCATTATCCAGATTCCAGTGCAAGCCAGCACAGCTTTTTTTGTATTTTTTAGTTCTTTGACATGTTTGGGCTGGACAATAGCCATAAATCTGTCTACGCTGATAAAAGTGAGCAGCCACAGAGCAATGGCTGGATAAAACACAGTGAAAGCCCCGAGGATCCGACAGAATGTATCTCCAAAAGGCCATGTTTCTGTCCCGTGGTAGGTTATCCGAAAAGGCAAGGAAAATATAAAGAACAGGTCAAGTAATGCGACATTCATCATATATACAGTTATAGTTGTTCTCTTCTTGGTAGTGCAGCTGAACACCCATAGTGCAGTGGCATTCACCAACAATCCCACTGTGAACACAAAGCTGTAGAAGACCAGTGATGCAATCCTGTATTCTTCTGGATGGGAATTTTCTGGTGTCATAGTTTAATTAAATTTAAGAGTAGTTGTTTAACTCCATAAATCCCCTAGAATTAGATAAAATATGGGAAGTTATTCTCAGTCAGATAAAATCTGTCTTTTACAACAAACAGGAAGATGGTTTTAGGATGGTGTTTAGTGATGAAACTATTGTTTAGCTCTGAAATGTGCTAGTTTTGTTGCTTTTTCTGACTGCAAATACATTATCATCCTCTGAGGGAAACATATGTATTGTCAGACTTGTGAAAGTAGTATTTATAAGCATGTTTTAATAAAATATTTTAACTACTTACAGGGCCTTTTAATATAAGGAATAAAAAAGTCAGGATTGGCATTTCAGGTGTGCATCAGTAGCTGATAATTAGATTGGAATAGTTGTATTTGAGCTATGACAGCTACTTTCTAAAGAAAATATATCTTCAAGCTGTCTCTGTTAAAGAAAAATTTTAACTTAAACTAGCTATGAATAAAAACATGTCAGCATGGTATATAGTGACATTTGGATATGCAAAGAGTATTGACTTTGCCTTTTACCTGTGTAGGACCTACTTAACTCCCAAAAGAACAGGTGCTTGCTTATTAAAGACACTTAAAAAAATCTTTGAGTGTCTGCATAGCTTCTAATACAATATTTAATCCTAGGGCATCAGAATCACCCACCCAACATACGAATAAAGTTCATAGATTAATAGACTTCCTGTTTGAAAAAGTAAAAAGGAGGGAAGCAGCACAGTCTCCAGCTAGGCCGTATGGGAAAAGTATTAGTTTGGGGCAAAAGTTGCTGTCTGGTAGCCAGCTACCCCAGAGCACAGTTATGTTCCTTCATCCAGCTTCTTGGTGATAGGAGCTGGACATCTGAAATGCCACTGTGCAGGCTGAGGTGATGAGAGCTGCCCTGGTTTTCTCTGGTGCCTATGAGGATGGCAGACTTTACCTGGTATTTGCACGAGTGCTTTGTTTAACTCTCACCCCCAGCACTTTCCTAGCTCTTGGTATGGTCACAGTTTCATGACTTTATGTGGGAGGGTTCCTCTTGTCTGGCCTTTTACACAGTCCTGTGGCAGCTTTGTGAAGAGGAGGAGGAGGAACAAGTTAGTTGTTTGTCTGATCTTCCCACTTGTGATAAACAGCCAAAGGAGTTGTACAGTATCTGTTAGGCACCAGAACTGTTCTCAAGAGCAGAAGGGTGCATAATTCCTGTGTGTTTTATCTCCAGGAGTGAAGAATACATTAAAAACCAGGTTTATTGTTACTGCCCATCTGGATAATGCCTTTTCTGTAATGTTACCAAGTACTTTCTCAGTGCTACATAAATTCATAGGGGATTTAACCAGTGTTTATTAATCTAGCATCCTGGTTTGACACTGGTAAATACCAGCTGCTTTTGAGAAGAGTATCATGGAGTAACTAACTTAAATATGACCAGTTAAATCTTTATATAGGTTAGTTTCTGCCTTGAAATATAAAGTTTGGGCTTTTAGTTTTCTTACAGTTCTCCAGTTTACAGATACATTAAAGTTATGCATAGAAATATTTAACCCTTAACTTCAAGGTCTTTTTTTCGGCTGTACAAAACAAAAAAGGTGTGTTTTGTGCTCAGATGAAGACATTAGAACAGAATTTATGTTTTGTATGGGAAAAGCCATGTATGTAAGCATGAAGAACTCTAAAAACAAGAAAAATAAAATAATTAAAGAATGCTAGCAAAACTTATTGAAAATCAGATGGCATATGCTAAAAACATTGTGCATGTTCTAGCAGCATGGTTAAAATATTATTTGGCACACTGTTCCACTTTCACTACTGTTACACAAAATCGTCCAAATGTTGCTTAATATACACCTCCCCCCCCTGCCCTTGCCCTTTGTAAGTGGACTTTTTTTCTCTTTTGTTCTATTATTTTTTCTCTCTTGCTAGTGATTGTGTTTGACAGTGCCCAACTATCAATATCCTGAGTGATTTGGCAGGTGAATTGGGTAGTAATGTATAAGACAGGTAGAATAATTCACTTGAATATTAAGAAACATCATGCTTTTAATTTTGGTTTTGCTCTTGTCTCCTTCAGACTTGCAGTGACTAATTATTTCTGGTCAGGTCATGTTTTCAAAATAACCAGTAGCCTGATGTTGATGGGAAGAGAAGAAGCTGAATCTGGTGTGATCTTCTTTTCATGCCTTGTTTGCTGGTTATTTCAAGTTTGTGACGGTTTTGAGATATATCAAAGAACTGACCTGCTGTAACAGGAAGGGTTTTTTTTGTTTGTTTGTTTTTTTTGGTTTTTTGGTTTTTTTGGTTTTTTTGCTTGGTTGTTGGAGACGGTTTCCCAACTTCATGAGTTTAAATGCATTGTTGGAATGGAAATACTTTGCTTTTTCGTTGGTACTTGTCTGCATGGATTTCAGTTCGATATCTCCCAGGTTAGCCCAAGGAGATCCTTGGGTGCCTCTGGGTGGATGGTTTTGCCCTAGTTGCCATTTTTCATAATGGGAACATTTACTTACTGGTATTGCTTAAAGCACTTGCTGAAGAGCCCTTGGAGTCACTGGTTGCTGGAAGATTTGTCTGTGTTAAGTCTGAACGATTCCTCTGTTGTTTGTCTGTATACTTTATCAATCTTATAATTTTTTAATGATAACTGACATTCTGAATGTCTGATGTGAATTGTGAAAGCCATCTATGTGCCCTATACGAGAACAAGACGTTCACAGCAAAGTCACAATTAAATCTTTTCCTCCAGATTCTTAATGCGAGTTAGGTAACAGTGATTCCATTTAAAGGGCCATGTGTGTATCTCTCTTCCCAATCCCCCTTTTTACTTTTTCTGTCCCTTATATTTGCTTGCATTTCCCTGAGGAGAACATTGCTTTCAGTGAAGCACAGAGATACCAAGTAACATGATCTCCTGGTTTTTGTTTCATGAAAACAAACATTTTTCTTTTAGTGATAAATGTAGTTACCAATGTTTTCATTTATTGCATACTTTAAAAATTTTTGTTAAAATCCTAAACAACAGTATTTATGGTACTATGCTTTTACAAATGCAGTCATTTTTCTTTAAATGTTATTTATAGAATGCTGCTGATATTTTGAAAGTCCATTAAAAATTAAATATATTTTCATTAGTTCTGGAATGTTCTGCTTCTGAACAAAATTTCTTAACAATGAACATCCAAGTTACTTTGTTAGCATGACATAAGGGATGATTACTCACGTTTTGTGCTCTACAAAATTTCTTCAGAGATGCTTCTTTCATGGCCTCAAATCTGTAGAAGGTTTAGACTTCCTCTTCTTTGCTCAGCTTCACTTAGCTAAAATAGCTGCTCTTCTCAGGCAGGAAACAATGACGTAATCTCACTAGTTTTGAGCTCTTTTATTGGTCATACTTAAAAATTAATATTTCACATAGGTGTGGTGTCTGTGACCTGGTATTTCTATTACCTTTCAACAGTCAAACTTTTGTATTATTTCCAGTGTGGTCAGACTGGGCTGTTGTACTACGTATACTTTCAACTTCTAAATGTGGTGTAATGAAAGCATATTTTACGTTAAAGTTTCCATAGAAAGGTATCTGCAAGAATACACATCTTGGTTATGCAGAAGTTTCTAATAAGCACAGTGTAAATGTGTTTTTAGTAGACTATAGTCTAGTGGATTTTTTGTGGAAATCCCCATTTTATTTATATTGCCTTGGATAGTAGTCAATCTGAAAGTGACAGAAAGTCACTGCATTTGAAATGAGAAGTTTGATTCACTTGAATACACAGCTTTGTTTATGCCTGTCCTTACAACATTTTATTAACACAGCAGCAATGTTTCTATATGTTCTTTGCTGTCTAAATTAATAACATGCTTATTCAAGAGCTGTGCTGAAAAATGCTGTATGAAAAGAGGTTTTAGTCTGTGTTAAAATGGGGTAAAATTTCTCAGCTGTGTGACTGCAGCAGACATCTTAGGTGGGATGGGAGTATTCACAAATTATTGTAGATAAAGAAGACTAACTTCCTTTGTTTCCTCTTTCTCAGCTTGAGAAAAGATCCACCCTTTAGAAGGGCAGTTCAGAGGAGGAACTCATTCCATGTTCTCTGTAATGCTTGCTGCTTCAGGTCTCTGGCTGGCAGTCTTTGGGAGGTGGTAGCAGAGAGACCTGTGTTGAGTAGGGGAGCAATAATGTTTTAGTCTCACCAGGATATTCACTTGTTGCCAGAAGCAGCAAAGTCCTGCAGTTCAGAAATAACCAGAATCAGGTTTGTTTGTGGGAACATCTTTCTTCACTGACTATAAAAACTAATGTAGGTAGGTGGTCCTCACTTAGCACTCAAGATAACTTCTGGGAAAAGAAGCCCCTCTCTACTGGAGTCATGTAATTTATCTCAGCTGAATGGGTTTACGTTAGCATGTAGGTGTCTGCATAGGTCAGTGTGATGGTTAAAGTAATTAGAGGGAGGGACCTGGATATGATTTTTGGTGTGTAGATTACCTTTAAATATTTAGGGTTTTTTCTGTTCAGGTGAACTAATATGCAATTTCTTTTTTATAATAATTCCAAAGGCCTTTTAAATGCAGTGAGCTGCAAATCCTGCCCAGATCACCCTAGAGAAATATAAATCTATTTAAAAATTAAAAATCTATATAAAAAGCTTAATATTTTAGGACTAAGGAATTTCTTAAAAGGACTAACCAGTGCTGAAAACTCTTCAGTGGCTTTATCATTAGTGAAGCAGCTCCAGAGCATGCTTCAGCAGAACAAAGTACTGTTTTCAACAGTTCAGTGAAATTCAGTACCATATGTATATCTTCTGGAAGAGAAGAACTGTTCTTTTGAACTCTCCTAGGCAAGACTACTTTATTTTGGGAAAAAAATACAGAAGTGTGGAGGCATCTTCCATACTGAACTGCACTGTGAACACAGTTAATGCATATATATTTATGCAGTTTATTTTTATGCCAAATCAGGCAAATGGACAGCTAGTGCCTCCCTTAGCAAAAGAGGAAGTATAAAAGTGATTCTGGGTTTAGTGTAAAGCAAGCAGATGTTAAGTTTGGGATCAGAGAACCTATATGCTATGAGTTGTCTCTTGGCTTGTTGTCTGCTTGGGGGAGGGTAGAAAGTGTGATCTCTTGTAGCTGTGTCATTTTTTCTGGAGGGTGGCCGATGTTCTAGCCCTGCCAGGGAGGTCATGCCTTGCGAGGGCAGCTGGAATCAAATCCCATAGTTTACACAGGTGGCTAACAGCAGCCCAGTTGAGTTTGCTGGCAAGTTAGCCATCCTTGTGGTTTGCTGCAGGATTTCAGTGTGTGTTCTGTGTTCTGCTTTCACTCAGGGTTTTCACAGCCTTCCTGGTAGAGAAGAGGTAGCCAAACCTCTCTGCTGCTCTGCTGGCAAGCCTTCCCTCAGGCATGGAGAAGTAGCTCTGTTTGGCAGCAGGAGGCTGAAAAGAGGTGTTTGCAGTACCAGCAGATTCATACCCCTTGTCTAGGTGCTCAGCTGGCTGCAGCTGCAGGGTGATAAGCATTTGGGGGTGAACACCCAAGTCAAAAGCTTCAATGCCTGTGGTTTGCAAGAGGCAGTAGGCTGCTCTGCAGTGCCACATTCCCCTGTTATTTTGGTTTCTGCTGTAGGAAGCACCTGGTTCTATTTTTATTTCCTTTGCTGTTTTATCAGCTAGAAATGAGTGCCTTCCATTGGTTTCCCACAGATGGGTGAGTACTTCCTCTGCTTCAGCTTCTGTTGATTGAATGCTTAATTCCATCTGGGATCTTCTTTTGCTATTCTGAAGTTTGAGCAGTAGACAAGGTAATTGTCATTGCATTATGTTGTGCTAAAGCTGGTCTTAAGTAGTTAAAAGCTAAGCCAATGTACTTCCTGTCTGGGGATAAGGCAGAGTGTATGTGGTCTGTTATGGTGTCTACTAACTGGCAGTAAGCTTCAGAAGAAATGAGTTTGATCACTTGCAACAACCTTGAAGTGTAGGACTGAATAGATTGCCTTCATGCTGTTGCTTTTTGCAGAATGAATGTACTGCTGGGTCTTTCAGTGGTTTAGTCATGGTACAGAAAAGTCTGTTTTTCCTGTTCACTTACTGTATAACGTAAGCTTTGTCCAGCTGATACGGAGAAGTTCTGCACACAGTGGGACAGAAGGATTACCCTCTGCCTCAGTCTGGTGGGGACTTGGCTTGAGCTCATGTTCTTCTCATTTCAAACTTTCCACCATTGGGATCCATTGAAAAGAAAGAACTGAAGCTTCTTGCATGGTTCACTGCACCAGTGGTGCAGGAAGCAACTCTCCCATGTCCGTTTGTTAACTTACCGGCTTGCTGTTGTGGGTGAGTTCACATGCACTTTTGGGTTACTGTTCTCAGCCTTGATGAAAACTGGCTTCATTTTTTATTTCCATACTGTGTTCACCATAGTAAATACTGAATAAACTACTGGTTAAAAATTGGTACTGAATGCATGAAGTTATTGCAGTTGTTTCCAGTTTTGCTCAGAGGCTGCGTCATGGCATAGCTGTCCCTCTTCTCCCACTCATCTGTGTGAGGGGGTGTAAATGCAGTTGCAGCAGAGCTGAAGAAATGGAAAAGGGAGCAGCTTAAGAGAACTGCAGCCTAGTTAGCTGTACTTGATATGTCTTATTTACTGTTGTAGTTTGCTTTCTCTTCCCTGTTTTGTTAGTACATGGTATGGTTTGAGGAAAGAGATCTTGTTTTTTCCCTTAAAAAAAAATCAACATTCCATATTTCCACTGGGTTCATTTAGGTTTTTTTCCTACCTTTCCTCCCTTCCCTCCACCACCCTGCACCACCTCTCATACAGCCAAGACACACCCTGTGTCACTAAATAGCCTAAAAATATACATCTGGCATATAGTTCATCTGTTTATCACTGTCAGTCAGCCTTTGAAAGAAACAATACTTCAAAAATTAATGAAAATGAAAGTTGAATTTCTGAGATGTATGTGACACTGAGGTGGACTGGAGACAGTGGTCTTTTACACACCAGCAATCTCAGAGTGTCCATAGTCTAATATTAGCTCATGGCAAATACCAACACAGCTCCATGTTTGTTGATGACCGTATGCTGCCTTTGACAAATTCCTGTGTTCTGTTTTCTGGGAAGCAGCTTTCCTAATTCAAAAAGTGCATGATTCTCATGACAGATATTTCATAGTTTATTTATAACCTACATGAAAGCTCAACTTTTTATTTTCTTTTTTTAAAACCTGCATTGTCAGGAACTAGTTACTTCCAGTTTGGAAGTGGCTAGGAAAGTTTTCTTCCAATACTCTTTCCTTACTAAGTATGTGGTATGTGATGTTTTTACTATTAAACTGCTCTTAAAGGTCTCAGTTGTATAGGAAGTATTGTTCTGAAACTTGATATGCCTCCCAGAAATAGAGTTAGTGTTTCAAAAGAAATGTCTTTTTTTTGGAGCTGAATGTACTATATTCTTTTGATGAAGTCAAGTGCAGGAGTAGGGAGAGTTGTTCTGAGTCCTCCAGAGTTCAGGAGTTTGGACAAGCTCTGTCAGTACCTAGCCCAAGTAGATGTTATCAGAAATTAAACAATTAAAAATTGCTACACAGACTTTAGCAGACCAGTGAAGGGTTTCATCAAAAGTACCTGAAGTGAGGGTGGGCTGTGTGAATTAGAATAAGCACTTCGAATTCAAGGGTGCCTTACAGTGTGTTGCCCAGCCCTGGCAGGTAGCTTGCTTTGCAGAAGTGACAGTCTTCTAATGATGTTCTGCCTGCACCACCTGTGCCTGGCAGAGATGCCAACACAAGCAGCAGTGTTGGGGTTCTGAAGCTTGGTGTGCTGAAGGTGACATGAGAGGAGCATCAGGATGATAAAGGGGCTGATATAATCCAGACTGGGACAAAGCAGCCCAGTGCCTGCTGCAGAACAGTGAATCTGGTTGGTTAGGAGCTCTGCTGGGCCAGTTTGCTTGGTGTGTAGATTCAGCATTGTCCTTGGAGGGAAATGAAAGGGTACTGAGTGTGAATGTGCTCAGTGCACCAGAGCATCAGGACAAGGCCAGCTTGTGCTCTGAGCTGGCTATGGTGGACAGAAGAGCTGGCTGCAAGCAGGGATTTCAGAGTCACATACTTGTCTTTTCAAGTATGGAGCTAGGTCCAGTAAGAGGACTCTGTATTTCCCAACCAACTGTTCAGCTACCAAAATTATATCTGTTTTACACACACACACACACACACACACACGTGCACATTAAAGGGAAAGGACTGAAAATCCTGAGGTTTATCATGACAGGAGGCCTAGGAGAG